AAAAAAAAAAAAAAAAAAAAAAAAAAAAAAAAAAAAGAGGTAATTAGGTCACCAGGGCTCTGCTCTCAGGAACACAGTAATGTCATTATCACGAAAGTGAGTGCGTTTGCACAGGAATGAGTTCCTTATAAAGAATAAATTCACCCCTTTCTCTCTCAGATGACATGCCTTCCACCATGTTACAATGAAGCAGGAAGGCCCCCACCAGATACAGGCTTCACCATCTGAGGCTTTTCAGTCTTTAGGTTTTGTTAGCCAATAGATTTTTCTTACTTTTTTTTTTTTTTTTTTTTTTTGAGAGGGAGTCTCGCTCTGTCTTCCAAGCAGGAGTGCAGTGGTATGACCTCAGCTCACTGCAAGCTCCGCATCCTGGGTTCAAGTGATTCTCCTGCCTCAGCCTCTCTAGTAGCTGGGATTACAAGCATGTGCCACCATGTCAGGAAAAATTTTTTGTAGAGATGGGGTTTCAACATGTTGGCCAGGCTGGTCTTGAGCTACTAATTTCAAGTGATCCACCCGCCTTGGCCTCTCAAAGTGCTGGGATTACTGATGTGGATCATCACGCCGAGCCAGATTTCTGTTCATTATACATTCCCTAGTCTGTGCTACTCTGTTATGGCAGAACAAAACAGACTAAGACATGGTGTCAAGATGAGAATGCAGGTACCTTGTGCCAGCAACAGCTCTTGTGGGCGTCCCCCTTAGAAGAGCACAGGTGCACACAAGTATCCAGGTACTGGCGATGCACAGAAGCATCTAAGTATCTAATAGCAACCGAAGGGCAAACAGTCTCATGTAGTGGCCAGGCCAAGTGGTTCATGCTGTAATTCCAGCACTTTGGGAGGCTAAAGCAGGAAGATCACTTGAGCCCAGTAGTTGGAGACCAGTCTGGGCAACAAAGCAAGACCCTGACTGTACCAAAAAATGTTAGCTGGGTGTGGTGGAGTCTACCTATAGTCCCAGCTACTCAGGAGGCTAAGGTGGAAGGATCTCTTGAGCCAGGAGGTAGAAGATACAGTGAGCTATGATGGGGCCACTGCACTCCTGCCTGGGTAACAGAGCAAGACTGTTTAAAAAAAAAAAAAAAAGTTGTTAGGTGAGGAGGCTCACACCTGTAATCCCAGCAATTTCGGAGGCCAAAGTGGGCAGATCACAAGGTCAGGAGTTCAAGACCAGCCTGGCAAACATAGTGAAACACCATCTCTTGTTGCCCAGGCTGAAGTGCAATGACACAATCTCAGCTCACTGCAACCTCCGCTGCCAGGGTTCAAGCAATTCTCCTGCCTCTGCCTCCCCAGTAGCTGGGATTATAGGCAGGCGCCACCACGCTCGGCTAATTTTTGTACTTTTAGTAGAGATGAGGTTTCACCATGTTGGTCAGGCTGGGCTCGAACTCCTGACCTCGTGATCTGCCCGCCTTGGCCTCCCAAAGTGCTGGAATTACATGTGTGAGCCACCAAGATAGGCTAATTTTTTCTATTTTTAGTAGAGACAGATTTTTACTGTGTTGGCCAGGCTAGTCTGGAACTCCTGACCTTGTTATCCCTCCACCGCGGCCTCCCAAATTGCTGGGATTACAGGCATGAGCCACCGTGCCCGAACTGCCTTTTAAAAAATTTTTGAGACCAGGTTTCACTCTGTTGCCCAGGCTGGAGTGCAGGGGTATGATCACAGCTCATTGCAAGCTCCTGGGCTTAGGTGATCCTCCCAACCTAGCCTTACCAGTAGCTGCGACTACAGGCACCTGCTACCACACCCAGCTAACTTTTTGTATCTTTTATAAAGACGGGGTTTTGGCCAGGCACAGTAGCTCACGCTTGTAATCCCAGCACTTTGGGAGGCTAAGGTGTGTAGATCACTTTAAGTCAGGAGTTTGTGAGACCAGCCTGACCAACATGGTGAAACCCTGTCTCTACCAAAAACACAAAAAAATTAGCTGTGCATAGTGGTGGGTGCCTGTAATCCCAGCTATTTAGGAGGCTGAAGCAGGAGAATCTCTTGAACCCTGGAGGCAGAGGCTGCAGTAAGGCAAGATCGTGCCACTGCACTCCAGCCCCAGCAGGAGACTCCATCTCAAAAAAAAAAAAAAAAAAAAAAAAAAAAAAAAAAAAAAAAAAAAAAAAGACGGGGTTTCACCATGTTGCCCAGGCTGGTCTGAACCCATGGATTCAAGTGATCTGCCCACCTCAAGCCTCCCAAAGTGCTGGGATTACAGGTAGGAGCCACCGCACCCAATCTGAAAACTTTATTGTTGCAATTTCTTCCCTCCAAGCCTATTTCTTGAGAATGTTGAAGCGCCAGTGGCCTTAACATATAAGGCACTTAGTATGGCTACTACACACACCAGAGACTACAGTGTGGCACAGAGTGGGGAAGGCTGGCAGCCCCAAGGCCGGTCATGTTTTCTTTCATTGGGTGATTCCAGTACCTAGAATATACGTGACTTTTGCATCTGATGATGTGCTCCTTCCCAAGTGGGCTACGTATCTCCTGGAGGTGTAGAAGCCATAGGATAGTCATTGTACACGTTCCTGGAGCCTTAGCGAAAAATTCATTTTTAGGCCGAGCGCGGTGGCTCACTCCTGTAATCCCAGCATTTTGGGAGGCGAGGCAGGTGGATCATGAGGTCAAGAGATTGAGACCATCCTGGCCAATATGGTGAAACCCCGTCTCTTTAAAAAAAAAAAAAGAAAGAAAAAGAAAAATTCATTTTTATCTATTTTTTCAGGCTGGAATGCAGTGGGGTGATCTCAGCTCAATGCAACCTCTGCATCCTGGGTTCAAGTGATTCTCTGGCCTCAGCCTCTCTAGTAGCTGGGATTACAGGCATGCACTACCATGTCCAGGTAATTTTTCTAATTTTAGTAGAGATGGGGTTTCATCATGTTAGCCAGGCTGGCCTCGAACTCCTGACCTCAAGTGATCTGCCAGCCTCAGCCTCCCAAAGTGCTTGGTACAAGTGTGAGCCACCAGGCCTGGCTCATTTTTATTATTTAATACAAACATCATGTGGGAGTTTATGAAATTTGTAGAATCTAGACATTTCTTGCCTGTCGCTGGCAGCTTCCCCTCAGTCCCCGAGGGGTCCTCTGGGTGACTCAACCTCTGCCATTAGAGGTACTGGCTGGAAAAGTTTGAAAAGCTTCCACGAGGGTGCTACAATTTTGTTTTTAATCCATCCAGACCCACCTGCTCCCCCTTGTGACACAGGCTGTGCACTGCAGTCAACAGTATAATTAGCTCAAAATTTAAAGACCATGTGAAATTCATGCAGCAATAAAGCTGCTGACCACGTCACCACTGACTGCATTAAAGGTGGTCAGACACGGATCCCTTCTGAAACGCAACCCCTCTCACCTCCGGTGGGCTCCGGTAGTAGAGACCAATTTTCTTCCCCACTGACTGCTGCGGGATCGGAATAGGAAAGAGACTCATTTATTGAAACATTGCACAATTTACATAAAGCAGCAGCATGAGCAAGAGTGGGGTGAACTGAAAGTCGGTTTGGCTGCATTAAGACAAACCTGGTCTCCCAATAAAAGCTTTGACCCATATTGCCTGTGGGCCTGGGGCATAGTAAGCACCACTTCTGGCTTCCTTTTATTATCATAATTCTTACCACTGAAAATAGCCACTATTTAGCTGAATTATCCATCAGACAACTGGAGCCAGAAGCTTCCACACTCTAGAATGTGAGCAATTTAACTCCTGCTGCATCACCCAGAAAAAAAGGTGGCAGGAATGGTGACAGAGAGGAGGAATCTCTGAGTTACAGCCTCAAGGGAGATTTCTTCAGGTCTGAAAAGGCAACTGGTAGGATCATCCTATTCCGTCAGAAGCTTCTGAAGTGGAAGAAAAACAAGCAAATCCTAAAGCAAGTAACTTTATTATCATTCCTTTAAAAAGAACCAAGGACAATTCAGAACACATGTGAAACACAAACAGCTGTGGTTCAGAAGGTAAACAAAGGACCAGGACTACTCTGAAATGCAGCAGCCTCTGCTGCATGGGTGACTGGTGTTCTGTGAAAGGGGAGGCACCTCCCTCCTAGCGCGGAAGCCCCAGGAACTTGCCTTGGAAGACAAGCTCTCCTACTAATACTCAACTTGCAGGGTCTTGCCCTAATATCCAAGGCTTGGTAATATCTCCTTTCTCCCAAAACCCAGCTGGAACTCAACTAATCCTAAACAAAAACTCAAGAACAGCACACCAGATACCACCTGTTGTTTGTCAGCGTCTCAAACTCCAGAGGAAATTTGCCTGTCATGGTTCTCCTCTCTAAGGGAACCTGTCTGAACTTGGAGTAGTGCTTCCACTGGTGGCTCACTGGGCTTGGGCCTACTCCCCACCTGAAGTCATGCTCCTCTCTGTATGACATCAGGCGGGCAGTAAGTCCAAGAAGGTGGCAAGAGGCTCCTAAGCGATAGGGCTTGCTTGTTCCTGGCAGGCATCTCCCACAATACCCCAGAGGGCTGGTGAGGCTGTGATGGCACAAGGACAGAGAAGGGGCAGAGGGGTGCTTGGAAGTGCTCATCACTCAGGGGAGCTGGCATGCCTGGAATGGCAGGCAACCTGAACAGTGCTGGAACAAAGACAGCCACCCTTTGCCCCTTGCTGAGCAGCTGCTGGTGATGGGAAGCAGCATGTCAGCACGACCTCCTTTGTCACAGGAAATGTTTTGTATTGGGCCAGTGACTTCAGTTTTCCTTGCCTGGAGATGCCTTCATGAAGGAAGGGGACAGGGAATACAGGCGGGCATGCTGCAATCAGCATCTCTGGGGCTGCCAAGTATTGGGTTCACTTGGGGCCAAGGCATTCCACAATCCCATTCCCCTTCATGCCATCGAAGAAGAAGAAGTTGTTGTGAGGAGGGTCTCGCTGAGACAGGGCCTGGGGAGAAAAAGGAAAAGAGGTTTAGCTCAAGTGCTTTAAATGGAATAGAAGAGGAAAAAAAAATTCTAAAAGCAGTCTAGGGCAGTAGTTCTCAACTGAAGTCGATTTTGCTCCCAAAGGGCTATTTGGCGATGTCTGGAGACAATTTTGCATTGTCCTATCTTTTTGTTCTGTCTCTTACCAGCTGTGTGTCCATGGGAAGATTATTTAGCCTCTCCAAACATTACCTTCTCTTCATAACATGAGAATAACAAATGTATTAGCCTAGGTTAAACTATGTATCTCAAAAATTTAAAATAGGTCATGGTCAGGCACACTTATACCTGTAATCCCAGCACTTTGGGGGACTGAGTTCAAGACCAGACTGGCCAACATGGTGAAATCCCACCTCTACTAAAAGTACCAAAATTAGCTGGGCATGGTGGCTCATGCCCATAATCCCAGCTACTTGGGAGGCTGAGGTAGGAGAACTGCTTGAAGCAGGATCCAGGAGGAGGTTGCAGTGAGCTGAGATAACGCCACTGCACTCCTGGCTGGGCTACAGAGCGAGACTCCATCTCAAAAAAAAAAAACAAAAACAAAAACAAAAAAAACCCAACAAACAAAAACAAAAACAAAAAACAAAACAAAACAAAAAAAAAAAAAAAAAAAAAAAAAAAA